CATAAGTAGTCCCGTGACGTACGATGTATTGTCTTATAAAGGAGAGGTGAAAGAGATGATAGGGCCAGATTAAGTCTTTGGTGAAATGAAGTCGGATTAAAAAATTAGAATATTGTTCGTCCATAAACGATGGACAACTTAGACAGTTTCCAGAACAACATCGCATCAGTTGCTTAAGTTCGGAATCATTTTCTTGCTCATAGTCGAAGCGAGTGGACGTCAACCAAGAGTACTTCCAAAAGAAACATTCAATCTGATGATCAGTTTCTGAGTATATTTATCTCATCCGTCTTCGGAAATTCATACTACATTTTAAAATGACGTGTATATACTTTCATATTACTGAAAGCAGTTCAAGTTAAAGATTCCAACTTTCTAAACATCTTGTTTTTTATTGACTTCGAATGCTTTAAGATGGTGGTGAGAGAAGGCAAAGAAACACTAGCAGGAAAGCGTCCAAGATCACCCAATGACCACAAATCGATGTGCGAGAAAGAAAACAACAAGCGACACGACAAAGACAAGCCACGAATCCATTCTCGAATTCGCTCACTTCTAAAAGCAAACGACAAGCATGATATGGCTTCTTCGGCGATCAGCGATTCGGAGTTCGACTTCGACATGCGCACCTCGAGTCCGCCGAAGCACGACGTCCCGGGGTCGCCAACGTCGTCGGCTCCACGGCTTCCGAGCAAACTGAAACATGTGCTTTTGTACGAAAACATGATGGAGCAGCGACTTCTGGATCTGCAGATACGAAGAATAGACTCCCAGCAGCACCGGGGTGCTATCGCCATGGCTACCGATATCGCCAGAGTTCGCGAATCGTCTGCGAGGCTGAAGCAGTCGGCACGGACTTCGAGGGTAAATACAGCCGACGCTGTAGGGGCAGTACGATCAAGTTTACCACCTATCATCATCACAGACCTCAATCACCATTTCGCTCCTTACGGAGAGCCACCGACTGTCCAGAGTCCGACGGAGGTCATACGACAGCGAGCTTTACGACAGAAAGCTCGCTCGGCGGGAACTTTTCTTCCTAAAATTTCGAAAGAAGAGTCCAAGCCCGAGCCAAAATCCAAGACTAAACGATACAACAGTTCGCTGCCTCATATACTAGACTCTAAATATGGCTTGAGTACTTGGTCGACGCAGAACATACAACACGACGTACCCGTGCCCCGCCCGAAAACGATGTCGCATTCGGCAATCACGAGGCGATCCGTCGACGATGAGCGATTCAAACAGTTGCAGGATCGTCTTCTGGACATGTCGAGTGTTTTGGACTTGGAGAAACGACTTCGTCCATGGGTTCTGAAGAACGCTCGGAATAAAACTACAACTGTTGAGACGTACATCGTCGGTGATGAGAAGGCAAACGAGGAGGACAATGATGATGAAATTGTCGTCGATGATTTCCAGGATGAGAATGACGAGAACGTGTTTGACGCAGACTATTACGACAGGAAGCATCCGAATACGCCCGTGAACAATTTCAAATGTAATGACATGATGGTAAATGAACTCTAAGTGCCAAAATCGAATATATTATTTGTATATTTTCTTTAATCGCATAAAGGAAATGTATGTTTTGCTAATAACCTTAGTTTATTTATTTATTAAAAACAATGTAGATATTTTAAAACAATTACTAGTAGTGAAGAGATTATTGAATGTACAAAAGTTTGTCATCTTTGTTAACAAAAAATTATTTGCCGATGTGAATGTATATCGTTTAATTCTTTATTTCGAACGAAACAACAACCATGCTACCTCAACATGCAATTCGTGTTTTTCATCGCTTACTTCTGTAAATATGTGTATCAAATGCAATCTGATTTTGGACGGTGCTTGTATAATATGGTTTATACAATATTATGAAATATCGAAGAAATAGCAAAGTAATTTGTAGTATCGATCATCTCTTTAATTGTGAATATAAAATTCTTTCAACTTAAACTGTTGCCATGTTTGTCTTAAATCTTAATTAAGGAGTAAGTTACAAAGTGAACTGTTGGTTTAATCGAGTGTCTGAAACGCATGGATGATGATTGTGATGATAATGATATTAATGATGACTATAAGAGTGATGAAGTATGAGAAAGATCTTAGAATAGCTGGAGTGCAAAGCAAAATGATACGTGAGATATTGATTAGACAGTTGAAGTTCATGGGTCACATTACACGTAAAGAAGGCCTAGATAATCTTGCGTTGACAGGGAAAATTGTGGGAAGGAGAAGTATGGGAAGAAGGAGGATACTTTGGATGGACAGTCTGCAGAAAGTTTTGGAAGAGATAGGAGTTAAAGAACGAATGGGAGTGGTGCTAATAGAGAAGGCTATAGGAGCCGAGGGTTGTGGAACAGCATGATCGCCAAAGTCAATCGATATGGCACTTAGAGAGAGAGAGAGAGAGAGAGAGAGAGATAATGGTGAAGACGACGACGATGATGACAATAGTGCTGAGAAACAGTTGGAAAATAATGAAATGGATCATTACAAAACTGATGAAATTTTGAATACAAAGAAGAAATGAATTTCTTTATTTGAGGCCTATTTGAATGAAAGAACGTTTCTAACGATGAACGTAAACATGGTAGGTCCATGATGTAAATAACCTTGATGGACAGCTATGTCAATGGTGTAGACAAAGGAATATCGATTTTAGAAGTTTCTTTTCTCTCCAGCTCTCTCGCTTACATTGTACAATGTTATTGTTTTTTTTTTTATAATCCCTGTCGTATTTTAACATACTTCTTGTACCCATTCAAATGTATTTTTTTTTATCATTTTCACAAATTTCCGATTGAGAGGAATGGCTAGGTCTACTTTCAACGTTGAGGGTGTGTTATTTTATCAGCTGTTTGGCCGCGCGACACGGAAACGGTGCAGAGGCTGGACTAGGGCTCTGCCTGAAAGGAAATGAGAAGTAGGAAACATATATTTTTCTTGTTTTAAGATATTTTCATGTCCAAACGTCAAACTTAGTTTAGATGAAAACCAATATGACAGTTAGAACGAAGCAAAATGACCCAGAATTGGTGATATAACAACATTAATTTTAACTCTGAAAACTAATACTCTTTTTCCCTTCCTCTCTCCCTCTTTCATGCTTAATATCTCTCTCTCTCTCTCTATCATCCCGTCAAGGAAGCTAGCTTCTACCGCAGGGGAATTACATTGTACAGCGCTTGTGTTTACTTTAGGCTTTAATAGTGCAATATCTCAGGTGTCAATTTTGAACGGCAGATTTGCGTAACGGGTAAAGGGGCAATTATTAGAAAGAAAAAGGGGGCAGTAATCAGAAGGGCAAAAGCCACTTATTTGAAAGAAAAATGTGCACTTATCATACCAAAAAAATGGGCTGACATCAGAGATGAAAAGGGGCACTTTTCAAAGTACAAGGGGCACCTATCAGATTAGGATAGGGACACTTATCAGAGGTGAAAAGGGACACTTATGACAAAGGGGAAGGGGCGCTTATTAGGAAGAAAATGAAACATTTTCCTACGTAAAATGGGCACTTTTGGGGTACTTGAAAAAAGCGAAGCTCTAGTTTTATTTCCCTTTTTCTTTATTACTTACTTCAATTTTATCTCTTTTTCTTTCTTACTTCCAATTCTTTATTTCTTTTCCTCTACTTATTATCATTATTATGTTTTGTTCATTTTTGATTAATTGAAACGCCCAGTAAATTCATGTGGCATAGAGGGATTCAACTTATTTTGCACCCAAAATTTTCCTGTGAACTATCGTAATGTTTATTTTTCATCCCCAAAATCGGAATTTCATAGATAAAAAAAAACAAAAAAAACATAATATCTACCAGGGGCGGCAATCTCGAGGGGGGGGGGGGGGCGACACGTCCCCCCCCCTGAAAATTTGAAAAAGTGCACACACAAAAATGTATGGCAAATATTGACTAAAGACTGCAACACACTTTTAGGCTCTGGAGGGCCCAAAGAGAGTGAAGCGTTTAGACAAATAAAAATGCAAATATCTTCTCACTCGGGGAGCTATAGGCTCCCTCGCATAATATCCTTCAAAATGTCCAAGAAAATATTGTAAAAAAAGTGAAGTGTGAAAAAAGTATATTGCTTGTTATTTATACTATATTTTTGCTAAGGAATGTAATTTTTTTAATAGAAACAAACTTAAAAAACCAGTGAGGGGGTAGTCACTTCCGTCACCTTCACCCCTCTCGTTCAATATGCTCCCTCGCACTTGCGTACTGATGTGGTGGGGGGGGGGGGCAGTTCCCCCCCCCTAATAAAATTCAAACGTGGTTTATTTCTAATTCGATACCAGTGATTTATGAATGTTGCTGAAATGGCATGATTTTTCCCTGAGCTTCCAGGGGCTCAAACGCAATTAACAAAAGACTTAACTCCGTTTCGTTGACAATCAGCCGTAGACGAAAGACTTAATGCATGGCTGATTGTCAACGAAACGGAGTTAAGTCTGTTGTCAATTCTGTTCGTTGCAACGGCAGGCAGCCAGTAAAAACGAATTTGTTAGCTAAAACTATGAAAATGTAAGGGCTACTTCAAACAAACAGAACTTTGTCATTCCTTACTAATTTTTCCTGATTGAGGTGTCATAATTATGAAAGGGCAAAAATCCAACTTTCTAGAAATGTGATTTTCTCTTTGAAATTCAGATACCGCCCGCCAAATGACTTTTTGGTTTCCTCTCTTCAAATTGCTCTTAATCACTCATTCGTGAGATATGAATCATACGAGTTGTATCAAATGAAAGAGGAGGATCTAAGCTTTCCAAATATGTGTCATTTATTAATTATAATTGTGATTAAGTTATGATAAAGCATCAAGAATTATCAGTTTCGTTTTTTTCTGGGACGCACTGTATATAATACTCTCTATCTCTCTCTTCCACCTCTCCTACATCTTTCTCTGCAATCTTCCCACCCCTCCTCTTTCTCCCTTTACTTTTCTATCTCTATTTCACAAACAATATACTCCACATCATAAAATTTTTTGCTAACAAAAATGTTACAGCTCCAAAAATATAATCTGGTAATAAAATCATGTTACAATTCATACAATTCATTAATCCATTATAATTACACCAAAGATGTATCAACAACAATAACATTGAAACAGACAACAGCAGCACAAAGAGACAGAGGGGGGGGGGGGGGGGGGGGAGCAGGTGGACAAATGATGGAACTATGGAAATTACACAAGAATCCATCCTTGTTGTAGAACAGTAAGGCAATTCCATAATAGAAAAGTCTTCTGAAAATGCACCAAAGTGTGGTTTATACACAAAGATAGTAACAAAAGAAAATAACATCTTTAATACTGTGAATACCATCAAGTGTCCTTTCATAAAATGTTATGCATAAAACATACACATTCTCTACAGAATGGTGTACATATCAGAATGTACGTCATGGAGATATGTTTAAACAATTGATTAACTGGTGAAACCAATATAATGACTGGGAGAGACACATGATCAATCAATTAAAAATAGATCATACTTTCACAAGAATTCATGAATAAAACAATACTTTTGACATTCAAATATATTAGTAGAGTACTGACAAAAATTCAGACAATGAATTATCCTCAATCACAGAAATGTTAGTCAAATTCCATGATATTCTAAAAACTTTCAAACAAAGTTAGTACAGAAGTGGTAGTATAATTGTGCAAAAATACATATTTTGTATACAAATATAGTACTATAGCCAGTGCACATTTGCAACATTCATTGTACATACGGTACACACAAAAATGATAGATAATTTCACAGTACTAATCATTAAGAAATAATTAACATTTTAACAATATGACATTAAGGCACTAGTAAACACTTATTTATTTATTGATTGACTTCTTCACATTGATTGGATCAAAATCAAAGGCACTTAATATCTGATTATCATTACAATATGGGTGGCAATATAAGAATGTCATCTATATAAATCAATGCCCTTATATTAATTACTTTGGTATCTGGAATGAAAAACAAAATACTGTCAAATAGAATCTATAAGGGGAAAATGCAATAATATGTTTCACATACAGTAAAAAAAAATGTTATCAATTCAAGATTCAATCATATCACATTTATATACAAAACTTTCAAAAATACAAAAATAGTCAATTTCATAGCACCTGGTTATAGTATATAATCATAAACACAATAATATTCTCATGGAAATCATCAGTAAAACTGTCATATATGGGACACCTAGTCTATAAATTATATCCAATTGGCATATTTCCCCCCACGTTTGTACCAGGAATGCGACATCTCATTGCCAACTTTTCTAATTCAAACTGCACTAATCATTATCATCAATTTGATTCAGTTGCAATGTTCAAAATAGCAAAATGTTTTTGTAGTCCTGGTGTAATGGTCAATGATCTTATCCATCAGTGAGCTTGGGTTCATTTCTTGGGTTGCTGGCTCCATTCTTTCTGTCTCAGTTCTACCCTACGGATCTTCCCGCTGACGGTCTTAGGGAGTGAGTCGACAAACTCAATCTGAAATAATAATAATAATATATGATGTATGTAAGGTGCCTAAACCCCTTGGAATCAAATGCTCAAGGTGCACTTTTGAAACCCCCCCCCCCCCCGAAAAAAAGAGATCTTATAAAAGCATCATCATTATAAACAAAGGAACGGAAGATGAAACATACACAAATGAAAGAACCATTAATTAATTATATATGAATGTGCATTTAGGGCTTGGCTGTCCATAACAATGCAAAACACAACCGCCACTCATCCTCCAAGCGCTATAGTTCTCCTTAGAACTATGAGAACTATAAGCTAAGAAAGATTACCAACAGTCTTTTTCAGGACTACACACCCTCAAGAAAGATTACCGAGAGTCCTTTTCAGGACCCCTCAACCCTCTCTCTCACATGGTGCACCCGCAAACCTACTGTATAATATAACTATGACATACATTTGTAATTAGGTTATCATGGTGATATTCATGTTCATATGGACACTTGGCATCCTCCCTCTCTCTCTCACATAGTGCAACCGCAAGCCTACTGTATTAAACACAACTGTTTGCAGTAAGAATCTTGGAATTCAAGTTTCCCCATATCAATCTCTACATACCTTCCTAGGGTATTTGTATGGTGCTGTGAGTTGCTTGGTATGTCCTTGTAGCTCGGTGACCAGCTGAGACTGATCTCTGGTCTTGTATTCCTCCGCTAAGACTATAAATGCCTTCACAACCTGGCAGGGGGAAAAAGCAAACAGATGAGAAAAGAATACAATAAGAGTATAGTGATACTGAAGTGATTGTATTCTCGAAAGCGGACTAACTTTAGTCCTTGGTTTAATCCACCGACTAAGTATGGAATGCCAAGTGTCCATATGAATATGTTTTTGAATAATTTAATCTGTCACTAAATTAAAATAAAATTTAATAACATATTTAATGAACAACAATATAACTATGATATAATTATGTTATCATGGTAATTTAGGGACATATCAACTTATTCAAAAATATATCCATATGAACACTTGGCATTCTATACTTAGTCGCTGGATTAAACCATGGACTGAAGTTAATCCACTTTCAAGAATACCACCAGATGTTAAACCACTAGTATTTTGAGAGGACCCTTCCCTTTCCTTTTGTAACTTGGGGTATACCAGTCAATAAATTTGCCCCTCATCAATTTCATTGGTAGTGGCACTTGTCATATAGTGATGGCAATGATGATTCAAAAAGTGGTAGGATTTGTTACAGCCAGAGTATAGATGTTGTTGATGAATTGAATGGTAGTTATGGCATTGGTTGTGGTAGTTATGGTGATGGTGATGGTGATGAAATAGTTAGTGTTGGTAATGTTGATATGGTCAGGTATATTCTTGCTTGTGGTAGTGGTGGCACTTCTTGGTGGTGGTCGTATGAACAGTAGGCAGTAGTAGTTTATGGCATTTGTGGTGGTAGTAGTGGTAATCATAGTTGAAATGTTGATGGTTATGAAAATAGAAAGTGGTCGAGTGGATATATCACCGGACTGTGGATCACAAGGTCCGTGGTACTTCCCAACGCAGCACTAATGTCCTTTGGAAAGACATTGATCTACATTTGCCACTCTCCACCCAGGTGTTAAATGGGTACCCAGTAGGATGCAAAAGCTAATGTGGTTAGATTAGCAAGCATGCACTTGCAAAAATGACGCCTGGTTGGAATGCTCCCTAGGGAGTGGAGAATGTGTATACATTGTGTGCGGGTAAGCAACCCTGAATTTGTTGACCGGGTAATAATATATATCCGTTAAGTGCCTTGAGAGGGCCTGACGTCCTGAAAAGCGCTATATAAGAACAAGCTACATGTATTAGTATTATAATTACCTCTCCCCTTGTGGGGTCTGGTGAACTGACTGCAGCTGCCTCAGCCACTGCAGGGTGCTCAATCAAAGCACTCTCTACTTCAAATGGACCAATACGGTATCTATAAAAAATTTAAAAAATGGCAATAATGAATGGAAGAACAAAAAAAAAACATTACTAATCTCAAGGTAGTTCTAGTAAAATCATAAATTATACTGATGACAGAGGAATTTGCTTTACTTATCATGATATATGATCATTATGCTTGTCACAAAAGAAAATAAGGTCAAAATTAGATTAAAAAACTACTCACAGCTATCAAGAGCACATACAGAAAAACAAGCAGAGTACGGATCTGGGAGGACAAGAGGGGCAAACTACTTCTTTATCAATATGGGAGTGACACAAGGAAGTATATTATCACCACTCCTATTTATCATATACCTCAACCACATAATGCTGAAGGTAGAGAGAGAGAGAGAGAGAGAGAGAGAGGAATACAAGGCAGAACGATATGGGTATGCAGATGATATATGTGTGTGTGTGTATTGGGTTTTTACAGAAGTATATCAATCAGATATGATCATTTACGTCTGGGGAGCGACCTTTAAACGTCACCATCCGAAAGACGTGACTCAGTTTCGAACCTGCGTCCTCGGCCAAATGGCTTATTATGCTACAATTTGAGCATATAGGAAGGAAAATAAATTTCATATGATGGAGGTATTCCATACCCCGCTGATGTTATGACATCATCATTACGGCCTATCATCCAATAGTAACCGTCTTCATCTTGTGTGGCCTTATCTCCCGTCAGGTAGTAATCCCCTCTAAACACAGACTGCGTCCTCTCTGGATCATCCTGTCAAATAACGTAGAAGAAGTTAAAATAAAATCAAGTCAAAACTAGTAAGGAAGAAGTTATTTAATTCCATTTAAAAGAAAAGAGTAGTCAACCCTGATATATATTTTTAAACATAAAAGTAGAAAAATGAGAGAAACAAATTAGTGAAAGTTAGAGCAATATCCGATTAAAAATAAGAGAGTTATACATTTTTGAAGTTGCCACCAGTAAACACAAATTGGCAACCGTGACATATTCATATTCATATTCATATTTATTTCATTTCCAACAGAAAGGTAAACAAAGATATTACATTTGATTTCATACATAATTAATTTTTTCAAGAAACTATACAAATAAACTTTGCACATAATAAAATTATTACAAGAATTTCTCAAATTCTGAGGAACATATCATGCGTGCTACTCTCCAATTTGATATGTACAGAAAATTTCCTGAACTTTCATTTTTTAATAATTTAATTACATTTTAAAGGTGACATTTTAGCAGAAAATTTGGTATGGGGCAATTTGTATGGTTGTGCAATTACAATATGCAAATTTGATTCTTAAGGAAGGGAGGGGGGGGGGAGGGGGGGGGGGGAGGGGGGACAGGCCAGTTATGCCCCCTAAATCAGGCATTTTTTAGTACTGCTTACCACATACTGGGTGAAGAGTCCCAAGGGTCTGACTGGTTTCACCTTGACGCCGATGATGCCCTCCTTCCCTCTCGGAAGCTCATTACCGTCATCGTCGACGATGGCCATGTCGTGGCCAGGCGCTGCCATACCGCAGGACCCCGGCTTGACTTGGTTGCATCGGAATGATCCGATCATTAAGACCTGCGTGAGTGGGAGTGAGACAGAGAGAGTATGGGAAGAAGGGGGAAGAGTGTGTGTGTGTGTGTGTGTGTGTGTGTATGTTGTGAGAGAGAGAGGGGAGATTGAGGGGAAGTGAGAAAACAGAAATTTGCATTTCCCACTACTTTATCTCACTAATGTTACAGTTTTATCCAACACATGATTCTTGAGATAGCATAATTATGAATGGATGTAGAAAATATAATATGAAGAACCGGCCAGATTCTGTACTACTGCTGGAGTGGTTGTGTGTATGAAGCCCAAAATGTTCTATTCAGCGCCTGATTCGCACGTCAACAATCACTAAAACATTTGAGCTGAAATACAGGGGGTATGATACAATAATGACGCTTGCAAATTTATTTTTTGCAAAGAGCGATATATTACCCTAACTAGGTAAGTTGTATTATTACTTGATAACGTGAGGAGAAAGAGGAAGAAACACCAACAATTAACAAAAGAAATGGGAAAATTTGCAAAATAAAATAACTGTCATACAAGTAAAGAATGAATGTGAGAAACAAGTAAGGGATTAGATTAACAAAAAAGGGATATTGCTCTAAAGATATTGAAATGATGAAGAAATGATGAAGACATAAGGAAAGAAAAAAGAATGACAATTAAAAATAAATAAAAGTAGTGTAGAAATAAAGAGAATCATGGCCAAACACAAAACAACTAGTAAGAAGAGAAAAGCGTCCTAACTTACCGTTTCTGTCTGTCCGTATCCTTCTCTGATATAATTACCACTGACCTGTTTCCAAGCTTGATTCACCTCTGGGTTCTAGTTGAATGATAAATAAAAAGAAAACAAATAAATACAAAGTAAACACATAAACAAGAAATAAATAAATAAGAAAATTAACTAATGCACAACAACAAAATGAATTAACAAAATAATCACAAATAGAAAGTTCACAAATAAAAAGTTTTAAAAATAAGATTAAAAAAACCTTAACCTCAACCCTAGACCCAAGAATATACTTAACCCTTACCCTAATCCTATAACTTTGATGAAAAAAAAGCCCCGAGCAAATTTTGCTTAACCAATATTTCATCATCTACTCATATCTTAATTTTCTCCTCCCATACTTTCTGTCTCATCTTATCTTACCCATCCATTTCATAATTCTTCACACTCACAACCAATATTCCTCTTGGCATGATGAAGATCTTACCAAGAACTCTCCTGCACTGATGCAATCCCTCAAGGACCTTAGACTATACCGCGACGTATCCTGCTGGATCATCATGCTGAAGGCCGTCGGAGGGCCAGAGGGCTCTCCTCTCTCTCTCTCTCTCTCTCTCTCTTCCCCCTCTCTTTCTCTTTTTTCCCATCGCTCTCTCCCTCTCTTTCTTCCCCCTCACTCTCTCTCTCTTTCTTCCACCCTCTCTCTCTCTCTCTAGTTCTTGTTCAGAAGATCTTACCAAGAATTCTCCTGCACTGATGCAATCCCTCAAGGATCTGAGACTATACTGTGACGTATCCTGCTGGATCATCATGGTGAAGGCCGTCGGAGGGCCACAGAATATGGAGATTGGGTAGTCGTTGAATACCTAGAAACAGGAAGGTAAGAGGAGGAGATGGGAAATGATGAAGATAGTAATAATAATATGATGATGATGAGGATAAAAACGATGATGATGATGATGATGATAATGATGATGATAATGAAAATGATGATAATAACATCAACAACAACAAAATAATAATTTGTACCTGGAGTACATTTCAGGAATGCAAGTCTTCAATAGTTCACAACGCACTTCACAATTAACAATGTTCATTTCACACAATCACTGGGAACATTTATCACAGAGCTACCATCTGCTGAAAGCCAGGAGGGAATTCAAGAATACAAGTAGATTACACCATTCTCTCTCTCTCTCTCTCAACAGAAGATATATTATGGCAATTTGTTCACAAGTATTTATTTCATGAGTGCAAATGACCAAATGAAACATAAAAGTCAGGACATGAACATACACACTACTATCTTGAGAGATGGAACCCTCTCACTCCAATAAGCCAGTTCACGGTTGCAGTCTGAGCATGAGCAGATAAAGGTCATTGCAGAACAAATTGTGAAATTCACAGAGACAAAATACTGGATACGTGCTCATGAAAGTTATGTAATCATTATTCATTCGTGCACAAGCAGTGCACTCCATGATACACAGGTGGAAGTATTCTTTGAAAAGGGGAAACAAATGCTATTTATGTAGCACCTCCATCGATGTAGGGGTGATTATTTTAAAATGTACAAAATGGGACCTCTTCATGTTTTGAAGATCTGTGGATATTCGGGGTCATTGCAGTCTTGTGCTAACCATGAACTGGTCTATTGCAGAAACTGTCAGGAAAACTTGTGGTGCTCATTACTTTATTGTGAGTACTAACCACTATAACATATTTTGCTGTGTATGTTAGCGAGTTCATATCGCTGCACTCAATTAAATAAAAAGAGCTTCAAATGTTACTTCCATCAGGAGATATTGCAAGTTCAAATAAACTCTCAATAAAGCGACTTGGTAGTAGACACACCCATACTGGCCCGCATAGAATATGACAGCATTGGAACTCAAATTTGACTTGGGCTACATGCTCAAGATTTGTACGCTATTCTTTATGTTCTTTATTGTTAGCCTATAGAATGCCCTGTAGAGTTTTTTGAGGTTAATTTCATCCATTCTAGCTGAACACAATTATTTTGTTAGCTGAATGGTATCCTTAAAGATAGGTCATTCCTTGTAAGACTAAGAAAATTTAGTGTTACTCTGACTACACCAAATTGTCAAGTCAACACCCTTACTTTACCTTATAGCCTCCAAGACTGGGGAACACCAAGAAGGATATGCAGTTCAAACCAGTTCAAACCGGTAGATACCAGTTGGAAATCCTTACTGGTTTCAACTGGTATCAACTGTAATTTTGACCTGGGTACTTACCTGCAGTGTTTGTTGTGGATCAAACCTCGGTGAATGATGGATAAAAACACAGGATCCCTGTCCCCAGGGAGCATAGACGTTACTGTAGGCAGACTTGGCCCAGCCGGTGTCCGACATGTTCCAAAAGATATCATGCGGCGTCAGATCCAGCCAATACCTGGACGATGGCAGAATAAAAATTCTTGTATGTCTTCATTTTTGATAAATCGATTGTCTGGTGCTGATGTTGGACGATTTTAGCCCTTAAAAGGTGAATATCTCATTTTATTTCTAATTTTACTCTGTATCTCATATGAAAATTATTTTTATAGCTTACAATTTACTCTTAAATAGATTCTCATCATATTCATACATTTGTAAAAGGTTTTTAATCCCCTCCAGATTGGAAAAATGGTTTTCAAAGTGGAAAAAGGATCGTCACGCTTTCTGGATGACCCAGATATATGCTGTTCTTTGAAACCTTTCAAAGTTAATTGAAGACGACTAAATTCTAAAACCTCACTGACGTCAGAAATGGGATGTCCATGCATCAATATTTTTGTAAATTAAAGGTTAATTGGACTGAAATGCCAGTAACGATATTCCATCAACTTTCAAAGACTGGGGTCTGATTATCATAGTTTTGGCCACACACAAGATTTACTTGACAGGATAGAATACGTGTACAGTCAAACCTGTCTACATCGACCGCCCAAGGGAAACACAAAAAGTGGTCTTTGTAGACAGGTTACTTTAGTACATGTTTCAATGAGAAACCATTTTCAAGGGAAACAAAATATGTGGTTGTTGTAGACAGGTAGTCGCTTTGTAAACAAGGAAACCTTTCAAGATTAATTGAAGACGACTAAAATTCTAAAACCTCACTGACGTCAGAAATGGGACGTCCATGCATCAATATTTTTGTTATTATTAAAGGTTAATTGGACTATAATGCCAGTAACGATATTCCATCAACTTTCAGAGACTGGGGTCTGATTATCAAAGTTTTGGCCACACACAAGATTTACTTGACAGGATAGAATACTGGTACTCACTTTCCTGTGATGATGTGACCGAGACCATAGCTAACGTGTGTGTGTTCAGCCATCTTAGGCTTGGCTGTAGTCCCACTGGTAAAGAAAACTGTCATGGGGTCACTACCTCGTGTTCTCACACACTGCAAAGAAACATGTTTTGAAAGAGATAGAAATCAAAATCAAAATCAAAATCAAATAAATATAAATCATAAATACATGTTAGATAAGTGTAACTAAGTGCATTTATTTAAATCAAAAGCATGGTCCAAATTTTACAATCAATAAACATACAGTTTAGACATAGAATTAGAAAATGCTTTTTTTTACATCTAGCCTAAGAAAAACATTACAAAATATCATTTATAATACCGGTAATTACCCTCTAGAAGGAAATCTTTTTCAATTGTCATATACGGTTAAATCAAGTAAATGATCATTAATTTGATAAATCATATATTTATTCGTTTCTCTGCTTTGGGATTCTCATATGGCTTCTTTTCAGGTCATGAAGCAGTAAACAAAATTGAATGTCTTCTTCTAAATGTATACTTACATGTAGACTGTAAAAGTTTATCAAAATACTTGAATGTTGGATATTTCTTTGTTGCAATATGTTAAAGCAGAATAATTTTCATTACAGGTAGCAATTTTTACAGAGCAATTTAATTACTTTAATCTCCATTTTCGCCCTCTTCATCTATCTGCAGAATAGAATAAATGACTATTGTCTTCACATTATATGTTAATCCCTGTTTAACGTCAAACATAACAATATTTATTCATGGTGGAAATATTTTTAATCATGTGACCCATCCCATCCCAATCCACAGGAATTCTTTTATGTAGGATATAATACGAATATATATGGGACTGCACTTAATACAAAGTATATTTCATCCCTGCTTTATTAGCTCAGCTGCCATGATAAGGCACGAAAGCATTCAAGGAATTTCTTCCTAATGTGTACCCTTTTACCTCACCTGGGTAGAGAGTGGCAAACATATAAATCATAAGAACGTTTTGCTTACCTCGTGCTCATCTGAAGCTGCATCGTAAAGCTCTTGGAAGTCTAACCACCCAGGTCTACAATAAACAGATATATAGATTTTGTTTATAAAGAGAATGAAATGCATTGGCAGTTCTTGCCAGAATAGCATTAATTCCTAGTTATAGCCATTGTCTAAACCCTTACGGGGCTAAAGGAAGTTTTAAACATTAAAGTGACTCAGTAACATTGTTGAAGGTTGATGAAAATACTGCGGAATTTTTGTATGAAATGTTACTTATTATATTCCTTTTAAGGTACTAACCCTCCAACATGCAAAAAATCCTGAAAACGTTCTCAAACAACAAAGATATTTATCGTTTTCTTTGAAGGCGTCACTGTGCGACACCCTCTAACAGTAAATTCTTCCAACCATTTTTGTATTTACCCAAATGTTTTTTCATGAAAACATGACATACAGTAAGACAGGCTTTAAAACATCTTTCAACACTTAAATGTCTTGGACTGGGATGGTATATAGAACCAATTTATTGCTTTGTGACGATTTACGTTCATCTACAATGTAATTAAATTGTAATAATATAGTTGGGAGAATTAAAGAATCAATAAGATCAGTTTTCCCCAATTTTTATCATTAATGATGGTCTGTTTTCACTCAAACTTTCAGATTATCGTTAATTGTACATCTGGCATTGAAGTCACTACCTTAGCACCATTTGCTCTCATCTGAACAATGTTACCAAGTACATTGTACCTTTAAAGGCTTTTAACCATTTCAGGACAGTGTGCATCTTCTTATATGCTTACCTATTGTTGTTGTTCTTTTCATCCCTGTCTCTGATGAGAATTTTATGTTGAAAACCATCAGTATCCTTGACAACCTGAGAAAGATGATTATAAAATGAAATACATTTAACATTGGCAAATTGGAACCTCCATTAATGGGATAAGCTATTTTAAAGCCTATGTGCACTAGTTTGGCCAGAAGGGATTAGACCTCCCAACAGGATCACTGACAGATGGTTATCTCCTAAAATCAGCTCTCAATTAACATAAGAAAAAGAGGGACCAATCGTCACCGATTAGGCATTGTTTGCTATATAGAGGGCGCAAGTAGCTATAAGTAGTGGGGCATTAAAAGCAGTATATAACTGATAACATTCAATACATTATTTTTGACAACCATCAAACATGGCAGGGGGGGGGGGGGGGGGGGGGAGGGGTACAACTGAAGAGGGGACAGCAAAACTTAGGGAATTGAGTTGGTCTAGCAGTATGGTCAACTCTCTTGGACCCTGCTATAAGCAATAGATTATGATGGTATAGTACCTACATAAATCTCATCAAATCATTGAGTTAATGAAACCTGAACAATAGTTAAGTAAAATAAGTTAACACTGCTGTATATTCTCTATGATAGCCGGAAGAAACCTTGTCTTATCTTCTTCTCCAGTATCGTACTGTACCTACGCATGTGCTGACCTGTACAGTGTGCAAGAAAGGTCTCCATCTACTGTCAAACATCCTATTTGTGGTAGGGTCAATTACCCAAACACATTTCTGAAACTGTCATTAAAAGGGGTTCGATCGTTTCAAATTCCCTCTTAGGCTTCTACCTTATCAACCAGATGTGAAATTTCTTTGTCTGTAATAATGCAGACGGCTTTGGAGCTCTCGAGTCTGTCTCTGATATCCATCTCTCTGAGCTGAGTAGAACCAGGCACAAGCACTGCCCCTGAAAGGAAAAAAAAGTATTTAACATTCTGGTCAGTCCAGATTCTGTCAGTTTTTACATATTTTAAATTCTTAATTCGTCTTTGTCGTCCTCCCTTACAATGCATCCCACACAGAGCGCGGTGTCACTAATCTTGGGATCCCCCAACATACACAGAAACAGAATTTTTGAAAAATCTGATAACTTTTCCTCTTTCTTTTCTCCGTCTTCTTTATCTTCCCTTTTTTTGTAATCTTGATTTTATGTAAATTATGCACCAAAGTTATTGTTTTTAATATTTTGTGAGGATCATTTTTAACTAGCCATTTATGTGCTTTTCATGATCCTCCCACTTCAGATATTTTTGAGAGATGATTATTGTGGGCCCCAAACATATTTTGAAGAGGGGAGTTATATTTGATCAGTAAGGCTTCCCCTTCGCAGTGATATGAATTTTGCATCAATTCAAAACACTTTTGATTCTTCGGGTGACTACTTTAAGACTAAGACTTCCATAAGATAGTCCCTTGATATGCCTGAGTTTCTTACCTATTCTCAAACAAGCTAGATTGAGAAGCCACCATTCTGGAATGCGTGGTAGGATGACCATCACTTTGTCATGCTGCTTGATATGACAGCTATTCTGTAGCAAATTAGCAACTCTAATTTAGTTAAGGAGAAAACGGGTAAAAAAAATCAAACATAAGCATGAAAATATAAAATTTCAGTATCAAACACCAAATCAAGTGGAAATTTCAAGTGACAGTAATAATTTGTTTCCATTTTATATTTAAAGTGATGCAGTATGTAACTAATCATGGACATCGCACACCTTTTTCATATTCATCAACATTCTCAATTTCATCCATTCATCTGTAAAGTTCCTTCTCTTGTCTCCGTCTTGTAATGAGCTTATAAATAAACATAATTTCACTGGAAATATATTTTTTTTCAATGATGATTTCTTTTTAATTCAATTTCAAAGCTTAAAAATTATTTTGAACGATAATTTGTTCATCATTTGCAAAATGTCAAAGCTTACAAATGTTATGCAACTCAGAAAAACATCCTGTGGTTAGCATCAAACTTAATGTGTGAAATTGAAAATTGCAACTGTTAAAGAACAAAAGTTCTAATAGATGGGCGATCGCCAAATGGCATCCTTTGGCGATCGGAAAAATGGCAGAGGAAGGTGTCTGCTCTTTGACACCAAAGCTGTCACACATGTGAATATTTTGGGATGTGTTATAGAACTCTTTTCTGAACTGCTCAAGGCTTTGTATTGCTTTTCTGTGGGCCTTTGACCTTTGCGACTATTACCTCTATAGGGGTTATATTACAGTATCTTTCATACATCTTTCGTTTAGAGCCAGAAGGACGTTAACTCACATACTACTTTAACACAAAGTAACGCCCTTCTGGTTTTAAGTAGACGACACAGAAGATTGCTTACTTCTTTGACTTTGCAGCCAGATCTCTGAAGGACCACTTGATTTCATTTCCTTTCGTATCGATCCACCAAAAAGCTGGGGTGTTAGTAGACCTCTCTCCTGTCTGTGAACAAATTTTTAAAAAACAATCAAAATGCAAATTTCTTCATCAAAAAAGATACACTGGGAAAAAACTAAGTAAAAAAGAGATGAAATTTATACACCATGTATACCAAACAAAGCCTGAACAGCATGCACTATCACTTTACACTATAGCTTCTTTTTTTTGCATAAGTGTAGAGACAAGAACTCTTCAAAAAATTTGTGAGCAATTCCAAATTTGAGAGTATGATAGTTGCCAACTGTATCAAATAAAATTTTGAAGGCAGAAGGAAAACTAATTAAACCTCCTCCTTTCCAATTAATACTTTTCAAGATAACCAAATCTATGCTCCATTTGTAAAAGTGGTATCTAAAATATTAATGATTTCAGTATATATGCAAATCAATTTTTTTTAAATTTCATTATTTCTTGGGGGCACGCTACAAGAGTCCTATCTCGCACCCCGGAGCAACGTACTTGTCTGACACGGCTGGTTGCAGCAACTACTTCGAAGATCAAGATACATTAATCTTGCTCTAAGGAGACACGAACGAACGATTATTTCTTATGAATCTTAGAGAGCTAAATTATAACATTTCTACGCACCTCTTCTTTCCTGGCCCATTCATCCATCACATCACTTGCAAAATTAAAATACTCTGGGACATCAATGTTGAATTCCTTGCGGCCCAACTCATAATCGTTGAAGCCTGTCATGGAGACTGCCGACAAGAACGACCTGGACATCTGTTGCCAAGGCGACAGGGTCACGTTTACTGCATCTTTAGTGTTCTTCCATTTCGGTTTTGTGATGCTGTAGGTATATGGAGTCTCATATGTTCTGAAGATGCTTGAAGGTGAACTGTGCTCGGCAATGATTGCTGATGAACATGTAGCTCTCCGACTCCTTTGCAAGATGCTGGAGGTGGGTGAGAGGTGAGCTCTGGCCACATCTTGGCAAGAGATGGAGCGCAAGGATGCCTCACAACAAGATGAAAATGTTCTCAAGTTTTTGAGTGTAGAAACTTTCCTGCTGGCTTCTTTCAAAGCCCGAAGGTTTTGGTTCACAAGAGCAATTTGTCCAGACATCTTGGGTGTTAACGACTTAGCTAATTAGCACTCAAATGTGATATTTATTGAGACAGGGCTTAACGTTGACATCCAAATGCAAACTGGAAATAGACAAAGAGAGAAAGAAAAAAAGAAAATATACTAATAGAACACACATGAATCTGAAATAACATTAACAGTTTAAAAACTTGCGAACAAAAAGCATGACTCTCCTTGAAACATGACTACCAATACTATATGATATATACATGATATTAGTTTTAAACATAATTTCGTCCTTCATTTCTCTACACATATCTTCTTCAGGAATGAGATTTCATTTTCATGAAGCGGACAGGAGCAATGAAGCGGACAGTCGGCGAGCCGAGGCGAGGGCTACGGTTTGAGTTACGCCCACTGACTTAACTCAGCTCAACTGCTCATGCTCAAGGTTGAAAATTAAATCTATGTAACGTACTTGTAAAACTCTCTTGCCATTCCGACATTGACGAAAATTTAACTAATTACCATGCACTACTCACCTTTTCACACATTCGCCGAGGTTGTTTGGTATTTTGCAAGGCAAACAGTCAAAAGAATCACACCACACCACTGCACTGCACGAGAACTGATCCGCGGTCCTGCTGCATGCTGCGAGCTGCGCATGCCGTAAGAACGAGTGATACACAACATGCACCGGTACCCCGAGCCCGACTTCCTCGGTATAAGCATTATGGTATAAGGGTGCAGGTAATTTCTTGCTTTTCTTGCAGTCCAATGCAACCTAATCGTATAGTTATATCATTATTTTAAAGGGTATGATGTGCATAGAAATTTTAAAATATCTCAATAGAAAGAATTTTGTCAAATTGTAATAGAATGAGGTCTAAAATAGCCTATACTGCTTACTGCAGAATATTGAGAAATATGAATGAAGACTAGTCAGCTCCAAGTTGCAGGGAGTTTCCCTATTTTTAAAACAGCTGGCGGTTACAGCTGACTTGAGAGAGAGAGTTCATTTGTTTGTAAATTTTGCTGCTGTTTATAACGGCAATATACATATTTTAAAACTATCATTCATAGTGATAATATTTTGCTTCTTTGGCCCAAATATTGTCATCCTCTGATGCTTGCCACTTTCATTTTACCATGTTTACATCTAAACACTAGGCCTACTGTGTTTCAACATTATTACATTTGTAATCTAATTTGAATTTGAAGGGGAAAAATGTTCAACCAAACGCTTTATGAAGGCCTACATGTAACATCCCGTTGCCACCGTTTATTCTTCCTTCATTAGGCGTATATAAAAAGTGTACATAAACTATTAACCCGTGTAAATTTCACTAACTAGGCCTAACTAATATACATGTACCTAGTTTATGTGAACATTGGCTTTTAAAAGTACCAGATTTTAAAACTCAAAATGATATTGTAATATGATTTTAAAAAATATGATTAGCCGAGAAGGATAGATTTATAAGAAAATGTAAGCACTTTGTGCAAGTATAGTCTATTAGGGACTTCGGGAACCAAGTATGCAAGTGCGTGGTATATTATATATAACTATAAAATAACATGTCCATGAATAAATAGGGGTAAGCAGAATATCTATAGGCCCCATAAGCAAATATAATCTACGATAAAGGTCTAAAGTATTGGTTCATCTCATGGATAAGTGCCTCATTAATTATGTATATGTTTTGCTTTGTTTCATTTTTTGATTAACTGCACCATTTTTCATCAAAAGCCCATATTTGTTCCTTATCATTTCTCGACATACATGAAATGTTAATCATTTTAATGAATATTTATAAGACAGTGCAACCAACCAATTCCCTCGTTCTACTTTCAGTACGTTCACACTCAAGTTCTATTCCTTTGATTACCAGATAAAGGTATCCCAAAGGGAGCCACCTTGGTCGACACCAGAGCGACATAGGGTTTATTATTTCCTTTTAAAATTCCGAGAAACTTTTGTATCATACGAGCGGGTTTTTCAGGATGGTGCCGAATAAAAAAAGGACAGGATTTTGTTACCAGGCATGATATAATAATAATAATAATAATATTAATAAAAACCTTGACAAAAATACAGGGACACCAAATGAAATTATGATAAAAGAAAGAAATGAATTAAATAGGAAAACTGTAAAGGTGGTCACTATAAAAACAGAGAAGCCGGTAATTATGATTCGTACGAACAATATCTTTCAAAATTTTTACGCACCGTATAGCTCGGCTATAATTATGTTATTCATTAACCTACAGATTGTAGAAATATGTTTAAAAAAAAAAAAATCTCATTTCATTTATTGATCATTCCTATGACATAAAGGTTTGTAACCGAACTCAGACCACACCTGGGAAAACAGTTTATTTAAAATTCAGGTTCTTTGGCATGGAATCAACTGCCAACAGTAAAATTGTGACCAAAAAACATTATCCTCCATCTTTTCAGTGAATTTTCTTTTAAACAAAAATCTTCGTTTTTCTTTAAATAAAGGATATTTTTTGGGAATTGTTGTTTTACATGGTATCAAGCTTTTAATCATATTTCTTTAGAATAAAATTGGATTGTTATTATGATAAATCAAAATAACACAATCACAATGACAACTCAAGGGCAAATTTAATATCATATTGTTTGTCCAATAGAAATCATGTTCGGATCTCGTAAAACGTCATATTTACACCTTTTCTAAAGGGCTTGTAACGATTGCTCAAGAATCACGTTTGAGTACTTTCGTAGAACATGCTATCTGATCTACGAAGTGTAAGGTTACCAGTGACCCGAAATTTCGTTGAAAACACGAACAGCGAATGGTTGACGCAGAATGGTCACCGAGAAGAGACTAACACAAACGAATCATACACGATTCTCGGGCCTTGATTTCGGGAGCCCTTCATAGAAGTCGACTCAATCTGAAAGTCATTGTGCGGATTCCCCACTGAATATAAACCTAACAAAGTATATAACTGAAAATTAATCTTACATGTCCAATATAATACAAAATTACTTCCAAAGTGCACAAAACCCATAAGTTTCCTGTTTGCGCAAATTGTTAAGCAGATAATCATGCTTATCTTCCTTTAATAGCAGTAATTATTTCCATGGCCACACTAAGCCTGAAATTAAGACGATTATATTTTCCATTCAGTCTCTGTACCTTCATACTATTATGATTACTATGAACTATTACGAAATGATATATAGACAGTCGTTTTTTTAGTAAGGGTACCACGTGGTGTTACCGAAAGCCTCCAATTGTGATAACTTTTTCACCTTGGAAACCTACAGAGAACACATATTTATGAAGTTTGATGATTCTGTCTGAAGGTCTAAATAGGCTAACTCCGTCCTTCTTTTGCAGAGCAGCTTTGCTCTATTCACTAGAGACATGGACGTGTAACCTTGATATACTAGTAGAGTTGTCTCGAATGAAAGAAGAAAATCATAGATGCAGAAACTATAGGGTGAGAGTTTGAACGAAGCGAGTAAACAATAAGAATATCATGGGTTTAAAATAAAAAGGGAGATAACTGCGTGCACACGCAGGAGAATTTTAAAAGGCCTATGCTTTAGAGGCTTTAGAAAGTTTGTTACTTTAAATGGAATTGATTAAGATTTGCGGGACGTCACTTGTGGGGTCCCACAGGGATCCCTTCTAGGCCCGCTTTTGTTTATTGTGTATATTAACGATTTTCAACTTTCCGCAAAAATGTTATCATTCATTTTATTTGCAGACGACTCGAGTGTATTTTTCTCTCGCAGAAATCCACAAACTCTTTTGCAGACTGTAAACTCTGAGTTGACAAATGCGACTTTGTGGATTCATGCAAACAAGTTGTCTTTAAATCTTAAAAAAACTAATTATATGCTCTTTAGTAATTCCCTGAGTATATTGCCTGGAAATATAATGTTCAATGGTGTTGAGATTGAAAGAGTATCTACATTTAAATTTCTTGGCCTGCATATTGATGAACATTTAAATTGGAAGTATGATATTAGTAAACTTTGTAAATTATTGTCAAGAAATACTGGTGTAATTTATAAATTGAAATCTGTGTTCCCACTGAATATTTTACGTATGTTGTACGGAACTTTAATTTTGCCATATTTGCACTATGGTGTGCTAGCTTGGGGCAACTCGTTCAAATCTCAAATGGATAAATTACTACTGGTACAGAAAAGAGTAATACAAATTGTTTGTAATACACACTATCTTGCGCATACAGATGTTCTTTTTTATAATAGTAGTGTTTTGAAAGTTGAAGATATTTATCATTTACAACTAGGAGCTCTAATGTATGAATTGAATGCAGGTCTACTGTCAGTAGCCTTGGCTAGAATATTTAAGAAAAATAACCAAGTTCATAGTTATTCCACACGTCAGGCGCAAGCATATCACTTGCCTCTTGTTAGAACGCAATTTGCCCTTACTACTGTGGGGTCCACTGGACCTAGGTTTTGGAATTCCCTTGAACCAAGAATAGCGCAATCAGTCAGTATTTATGTATTTAAGCGCAAACTGAAGTTACTATATTTGAGTCGATATCGTCTAGATTTATAGTTGTGATCAATATTTAAGAAAATTAATTACTATATAGGTCAGCATAATTCTAGTCCCATCTCTCACATCTATTCATCTGTCTGTCTTTTTTTGTTTTTGTCTGTGTTTCAGTCCTGTTGCTCGTTGTATTTTCCTGTTTCTTTTGTTTATAGCCATTATTTAGTAGTCAGTAGATTTTATTTTATTATACTTATTTATGTTTATATTTTATCAGTTGTTAAGTTAGTTTATTTTGTCAGCACTTAAATGTATACATTATTCTTATCTGACGAGTTTTGTTCTTTTATTCATAAGCTACTCATGAGGGACCTTAAATCCACAAGCCTTGCTTTCAACCAAGGTCACCTCATCTTTCTTTTGTAACGCCATATTCTGTAAACTTGTTATATTCATGTCATATTTGTAAAGTGTGTTATGAAAGAAAGATAAATAAAACTTGAAACTTGAAACTTGAATATTGACTTGGCGTGTAATCTTGACAGAGAGTTGAAAATCACAGATGCAGATACTAGGGTTAGAGTTTGTACGAATCGAGTAAACAATAAGAATGTCATGGCTTTGAGATAAAAACGGAAATAACTTAAAACAAGGGAATTTTATAAGGTCAATCACTTTGACGATAAATGGGAAGGCCACCTTGACATTAAGGTGATTTCAATAAAAGCAGAATAAATGAGAAAAACAAATCTCAGTGACAGTTTCGAGCAAAGTCTGAATAGAAATATGAAAGTTGTGATTTTTGAAGGAATAGATTAGCTTCATGCAGTTATGATAAAACATCGATAATTCTCGGTTTCGTTTTTTCTGGGACGCACTGTATATATATACCAACTTGTTGTATTAACAGGACATCTATAAATTTACCTTACGGCGTCATTAGACGGACATATGTAGTGAAAATATAAGAAAATGGTCATTAGCAGGTCATTTTCGTGTCCTGTTAACGATTGAACAAAAGAAGTACTGCCCTCTACTTACGTTTGCAGGCAGAGGAAACTTAAAGGCCTCCCAAGAAACAAAAGGTTTAATCATTAGTCATTAGTTTAATTAGTTATATTGTGTTGAATTTAGGGTTAGGGTTCGGGTTAATATACCAGTTTTTATGATGTCCGGTTAATGTACCATGTAGGGTATATATATATATATATATATAATACTCTCTATTTCTCTCTCTCTCTCTCTCTCTCTTCCTCCTCTCCTGTCTCTTTCTATGCAATCTTCCCACCCCTCCTCTTTTTCCCTTTACTTTTCTATCTTTATTTCATGAACAATAAATTCCACATCATGACATTTTTGCAAATAAAAATATAATCTGGTAATAAAATCATTGACAAATATAATCATTTTACAATTCATTACTTCATTATAATTACATTAAAAATGTAAGAACAACACAAATATAATCAGTTTACAATTCATTACCCGTACTTCATTATAATTACATTAAAGAGGTATCAACGACAAAAACATTGAAACAGAAAACAGCAGCACAAAGAGACAGGGGGGGGGGGGCAGGTGGAAAAATGACAGAACTATGGAAATCGCACAAGAATCCATCCTTTTTATACAACAGTAAGTCAATTACATAGTAGAAAAGTCTTCTAAAAAGGCACCGAAGTGTAGCTTATACACAAAGATAGTGAAAAATGAAAACGACATCTTTAATACTGCAAATCCGTTTATAAAAATGTTATGCAAACACACATAAAATTCTCTACAGAATGGTGTACAAAAAGTACATTGTACATATCAGAGTGGTCGTCATGGAGATATGTTTAAACAATTGATTAACTGGTCAAACCAATATAGTTCCTGGGAGAGACACATGATTGATCAATTAAAGATAGTTCATACTTTCACAAAAATTCATGACTAAAACAATGATTTTCACATTCAAATATATTAGTAGAGTGCTGACAAAAATTCAGACATTGAATCATCCTCAATCAGAGAAATGTTAGTCGAATTCCATGATCTTCTAACTTTTAAACAAAGTTAGTACAGAGTGATAGTATAATTGTGCAAAAACACATTTTCTTTAAATATACAAATATAGTACTATAGCCAGTGCACATTTGCAACATTGATTGTAAATACATAAACAAAGGAAAGATAATTTCACAATACTAAATCATTAAGAAATAATTACAATTTTAACAATATAACATGAAGGCACTAGTAAACACTTATATTTTTAGTGATTCATTTTTCATCAAATTTATTGCATCAAAATCAAAGGCACTTAATATCTGATTATCATTACAATAGGGGTGGCAATATAAAAATTTCATCTATATAAATCAATGCCCTTATATTAATTACTTTGGTATATGGAATGAGAAAAGCACAATGTAAAATATCAGGAACTAGATGGAACTGCCGCCGTCATAGAGCAATTTTACAAACCAAAACAGAAGAAATTTTTCAAATTCAAGTTCAATTGTAATCCATTAATAGGTTCTCAGAATATCGTGATTACAAGCAATTTCTCATATACATATATGACCCTTTGAGTTTTGACCTCATGACCCTAAAATCTACTCAGTTCATTGGCTCTGCAAGATGTCCTGAGTTGAATAGTAATCCATCTGTCAGTTCTAATGAGAATGCGTTAACAAGCTTTTTTTGCATACATAATGAGCCAATGACCTTTGACCTTATGAACCAAGAATCTACTCAGTTCATTGGCTCTGCAAGATACATAAATGATCTAAGTTTGGCAGGAATCCATCAATCTGTTCTAATGATAATGCGATCACAAGCTATTTTTGCATACATAATGAGCCGCATGACCTTTGACCTCGTGACCCCAAAATCTAATCAGTTCATCGGCTCTGCAAGATACATAACCAAAGTTTGGCGGGAATCCATCAATCGGTTCTTCAGATAACGCGATCACGAGAACGGTACGTACATACATACGTACGTACAGACGGACGGACGGACGGACAACCCGAAAACATAAATGCAAAAATATGTTACAAAGACACTAAAAAATGTTATCAATTCAATATTCATTCATATCACATAAACAAAACTTTAAAAAATACAAAAATAGTAACTTTAATAGCACCTGGTTACAGTATACAATCACATAATATTATTCTCATGGAAATCATCAGCAAAAATTGTCATAAAATTGAAGACCTAGTCTATAAAAATATATCCAATTGGAATATTTCCCCCACGTTTGTACCAGGAATGCGACATCTCATTGCCAATTTTCCTTGTTCAAACTGCACTAAGTATTATCATCATTTTGATTCAGTGGCAATGTTCAAAATAGTAAAATGTTTTTGTAGTCCTAGCCGGTCAATGATCGATCTTACCCGTCAATGGTCAAGGGGTCATTTCTTGGGTTGTTGGCTCCATTCTTTCCGTCTCAGTTCTACCCTACGGATCTTCCCGCTGCCCGTCTTAGGGAGTGAGTCAACAAACTCAATCTGAAATAATAGTAATACATTTGTTTGTAATAATAATAATATATGATATGATATTTGTAAGGCTCTGAATCCATTTAAAATCAAATGCTCAAGGTGCATACACAAAAAAAGAGGGGGGGGGGGGAGAAGAGATCATATAAAAGCATCTGCATTATAAAAGAAGCACGTCTTCAACAAAACTTTGAAGACAGCTACAGATGAGGATTTTCTCATGTCTAGGGGTAGGTTAATCCAAAGCTTTGGGGCAGCGCAACTGAAAGTGCAATTTCCAAGGGTTACTTTTGTTTTTGTCTGAGGTAGCTTTCGAAGCAGGTTGTCCTGTTTACTTCGTAAGTTAGGTGCATATGGATGTGCATTTAGGGCTTGACTGTCCATAACAATGCAAAACACAACTGTTTTGCAGTAAGAATCTTGGAATTCAACTTTTCCCATGTCAGTCTCTACCTACCTTCCTTGGGTATTTGTATGGCGCTGTGAGTCGTTTGGTATGTTCTTGTAGCTCGGTGACCAGCTGAGATTGATCTCTGGTCTTGCATTCCTCGGCTAAGACTATAAATGCCTTCACAATCTGACAGGGGAACAAGCAAAAAGATGAGAAAAGAATACAGTAAGAGTATACCGATACTAATGAGGTTAGCATTTGGATTGAAGAGAAAGTAGAAGTGTCATAGTCGAGTGGTTTAAGCAATTGTCTTGAAAATTCAAAGGTCGTGGTTCGATCCCCGATACAGCACTAATGTCTTTTGGCAAGGCATTAATCTTCATTTGCCACACTAGACCCAGGCGAGGTAAATTGGTACCTGGCAGGAATTAATTTCTTGAAATGCTAGAGCGCTGTAATGGCAGCTAGGCTAAAGCTGGGGTAATAATTAATGCCCCTCGGCAAAGAATGTCTAAATAGACGGCGCTATAGAAATGCTTATAAATATTATTATGATGAATACATGTAAACCAATAGTATCTTATGAGGCCCCTTCCCTTTCCTTTTGTAATTTGGGTTATACCAGTCAATAAATTTGCCCCTCATCAATTTCATGGTAGTGACACTTGTCATAGTGATGGCAATGATGATTCAAAAAGTGGTAGAATTCGGTACAGCCAAAATATAGATGTTGTTGATGAATTAAATGGTAGTTATGGCATTGGTTGTAGTAGTTATGGCCATAAATAGTTAGTGTTGGTAATGTTGATTTGGTCAGGTCTAGATCTTGCTCGTGGTAGTGGTGGCACTTCTTGGTGGTGGTCATATGAACAGTAGGCAGTAGTAGTTTGTAGCATTTGAGGTGGTTGTGGTGGTAGTGGTGGTAATCATCGTTGAAATGTTGATGGCTATGAAAATGGAAAGTGGTAGTTTTGGGGTAAGTTATTACCTGCCATGAGGAAAGGGTCGGAGGTAAGCCGATGACAAATTGTGCTATCAAAATGGTTTTATTAAGGTAAACACCATTTGCGACATTTCTTTCTATGACATTAGCAAAGCCATTACTAATCGGATTTGGACGGAAATTGCTGCAAATTAAAGGGGTTGCCCCTCCTCTACAAGTTGCCGTATGACAATTAATGTCATGGAATCCCACTCCTTACCTCTCCCCTTGTGGGGTCTGGTGAACTGACTGCGGCTACCTCAGCCACTGCAGGGTGCTCAATCAAAGCACTCTCTACTTCAAATGGACCAATGCGATATCTATAAAAACAGATGGCAATAATGAATGGAAGAACAAAAAACTCCATTACTGATCTCAAGGTAGAGCTAGTAAAATCATGAATTAAACTGATTACAGAAGAATTTGCTTTACTTATCATAATATATGATCCTCATGCTTGTCATTAGGTAAAAAACTACTCACAGCTATCAAGAGCACATACAGAAAAACCAGCAGAGTGCGGATCTGGGAGGTCCAGAGGGGCAAACTACTTCTTTATCAATAGGGGAGTGACACAAGGAGGTGTATTATCACCACTCCTATTCATCATATACCTCAACCACATAATGCTGAAGGTAGAGAGAGAGAGAGGGATACAAGGCAGAATGAGTGTGTGTGCGTATTAGGTTTTTACAGACGTATATCAATTGGATATGATCATTTACGTCTGGGGAGCGACCTTTAAACGTCACCATCCAAAAGACGTGACTCAGTCTCGAACCTGCGTCCTCTGCCAAATGGCTTATTATGCTACAATTTGAGGCTATAGCAAGGAAAATAAATTTAATATGATGAAAGTATTCCATACCCCGCTGATGTTATGACATCATCATTACGACCTATCACCCAGAAGTAACCGTCTTCATCCTGTACGGCCTTATCTCCCGTCAGGTAGTAATCGCCTCTAAACACAGACTGCGTCCTCTCTGGATCATCCTGATAAATAACGTAGAAGAAATTAGAATAAAATCAAGTCAAAACTAGTAAGGAAGAAGTTATTTAACTCCATTTAAAGGGGAAGTCCACCCTGATATATATTTTTGAATAAAAGTAGACAAATGAGAAGAATCAAAGTAGTGAAAGTTAGAGCAATATCTGATTAAAAATAAGAAAGTTATGAATTTTTAAAGTTACCACCAGTAAAACACAAATCGGCAACACAGACGTATCTTGTGTACTCCTCTCCAATTCGATCTATTCATGAACTTTCATTTTTTAATTATTTAATTACATTTTAAAGGTGACATTTTAGCAGAAAATATGGTATGGGGACATTTTTGTGGTTGTGTAATTGCAATTATGCAAATTTGATTCTAAAGGAGGGGGGGGGGGGGAAACAGACAAGTTGTGACCCTAGAAAATGAACAAAAGATGATGCAATGATGGCTGTTTAACTAGACCCAAAAAAAAAACTAGGACAAGATAACTAAGAAATTATATCGTTCTGAAAATAGGCATTCGTTAGAGCTGCTTACCACATACTGGGTGAAGAGTCCCAATGGTCTGACTGGTTTCACCTTGACGCCGATGATGCCCTCCTTCCCTCTCGGAAGCTCATTACCATCCTCATCGACGATGGCCATGTCGTGGCCAGGCGCTGCCATGCCACAGGACCCCGGCTTGACCTGGTTGCATCGGAATGAGCCTATCATGTTTACCTGTGTGAATGAGACGGAGAGGGCAGAGGGAGAGGAGGAAAAAGTGTGTATGTTGTGTGTGTGTGAGAGAGAGAGGAATTTGAGAGCAAGTGAGAGTGAGAGTGAAAGAGAGAGAAAGAGAGAGAGAGAGAGAGAGAGGAGAAAGAGAGAAAGATTGAAAGAGAGGAGAGAGAGAGAGAGAAAAAGGGAGAAGAGATAGAGAGAGAGAGGGGGAGAGAGAAAGAGAGAGGAGAGAAAGAGAGAGAAGAGAGAGAGAGGAGAGAAAGAGATGGGAGAGAGAGGGTTAGGGAGAGTAAGAGAGGAAGAAAGCAGAAATGGGGGAAGGGAGAGAGAGGGGATAAGGAGAGGGGGAGGATAGAGAGAGAGAGTGAGAGATATGAGAGAAAGTAAAATCAGAAGGTCAGAAAAATGAGGGAAGTGAGGTTTGATTCAATTTGAATTAATTTCACATTCTCTAAAACCTTCTTTCATACTTTAAGACTACTCAAGGCAATACAATCAATATATCATTAGAATTAATAAACATCATATACACTTTAGCATTATATATCGCATTCATGTCATGAAATGACACACAGAAATTTGCATTTCCTACTACTTTATCTAACTAATGTTACAGTTTTATCCAACACATGATTCTTGAAAAAGCATAGTAATGAATGGATGTAAAGATTTATTACCCTGATTAGGTAAGTGGCATCATTATTTGACAGCGTGAGGAGAAAGAGGAAGAAACACTAACATTTAACAACAGAAATAGAAAAATCAGTAAAATGAAATAACCGTCATACAAGTGAATTTGAGAAATGAGTAAGAGATGAAATTTAAAAAAAAGAGATATTGTTCTACAGATATTGAAAGGATGAAGACATCAGAAAAGAAAAAAGAACGACAAATGTAAAAATGAATAAAAGCAGCTAGTAGACATAAAGAGAATCATGGCCAAACACAAAACAACTAGTAGGAAGAGAAAAGCGTCCTTTCTCACAAACTTACCGTTTCTGTCTGGCCGTATCCTTCTCTGATGTAATTACCACTGACCTGTTTCCAAGCTTGATTCACCTCGGGGTTCTAGTTAAATGATAAACAAAAAGAAAACAAATAAACACAAAGTAAGCACATAAACAAGAAATAAACAAATAAGAAAATCAACAAATTCACACACAAAAATCAATCCAAAAAACAAAAACAAAAATTGAAATTGAAATTGAAAGTACACAAATAACAGGTAAAACTAGATGGAATTTTGACTGCGCGCAGTCGAAAATGATGCCTCCGCCATAGAGCAATTTAAACAAGTTTGGAGTTTAAATCTCCAGTGGTTCTTGAGATATCATGATAACAATCTCAATGTATTGAATTTCATAAGTTGACCTCTGTGACCCTTGACCTTTGGCCTACGTGCTCCAAAATCTAATCAGATTGTCTTCCTATGGTGATACACACTATCATTAAGTTTGAAGTTTAAATCTCCAGTGGTTCTTGAGATATTATGATATGGTGATACATACTATCATTAAGTTTGAAGTGAAAATTCTCCAGTGGTTCTTGAGATATCGTGATAACGATCTCAATGTATGGAATTTCATAAGTTGACCTCTGTGACCCTTGACCTTTGACCTACGTGCTCCAAAATCTAATCAGATTGTCTTCCTATGGTGATACACACTATCATTAAGTTTGAAGTTTAAATCTCCAGTGGTTCTTGAGATATTATGATATGGTGATACATACTATCATTAAGTTTATAGTGAAAATTCTCCAGTGGTTCTTGAGATATCGCGATAATGATCTCAAAGTATGGAATTTCATAAGTTGACCTCTGTGACCATTGACCTTTGACCTACGTGCTCCAAAATCTAATCGGATTGTCTTCCTATGGTGATACACACTATCATTAAGTATGAAGTTTAAATCTCCAGTGGTTCTTGAGATATTATGATAACAATCTCAATGTATGGAATTTCATAAGTTGACCTCTGTGACCCTTGACCTTTGACCTACATGCTCCAAAATCTAATCAGATTGTCTTCCTATGGTGATACACACTATCATTAAGTTTGAAGTTTAAATCTCCAGTGGTTCTTGAGATATTATGATATGGTGATACATACTATCATTAAGTTTGAAGTGAAAATTCTCCAGTGGTTCTTGAGATATCGCGATAACGATCTCAATGTATGGAATTTCATAAGTTGACCTCTGTGACCCTTGACCTTTGACCTACGTGCTCCAAAATCTAATCGGATTGTCTTCCTATGGTGATACACACTATCATTAAATTTGAAGTTTAAATCTCCAGTGGTTCTTGAGATATTATGATAACAATCTCAATGTATGGAATTTCATTAGTTGACCTCTGTGACCCTTGACCTTTCACCTACATGCTCCAAAATCTAATCAGATCGTCTTCCTATGGTGATACATACTATCCTTAAGTTTGAAGTTTTTACATCTCCAGTGGTTCTTGAGATATCATGATAACAATCTCAATGTATGGAATTTCATAAGTTGACCTCTATGACCCTTGACCTTTGACCTACGTGCTCCAAAATGTAATCAGATTGTTTTCCTATAGTGATACACACTATCACTAAGTTTGAAGTTTAAATCTCCAGTGGTTCTTGAGATATCATCATAACAATCTCAATGTATGGAATTTCATAAGTTGACCTCTGTGACCCTTGACCTTTGACATACGTGCTCCAAAATCTAATCAGATCGACTTCCTATGGTGATACATACTATCCTTAAGTTTGAAGTTTAAATCTCAAATGGTTCTGGAGATATCGCGCTAACAAACTCAATACAAGGAATTTCATAAGTTGACCTCTGTGACCTGTGACCTTTGACCTACGTACTCCAAAATCTAATCAGATCGTCTTCCTATGGTGATAAATACTATTCCCGAGTCTTAAGTTTAAATCTTAAATGGTTCTTGAGATATTGTGATAACAGTCAAAAGGGACGGACGTACGGACGGACAACCCGAAAACATGATGCCTCCGGCACCACCTTCGGTGGCGGAGGCATAAAAATATATTTTCCTCCAAAATCCTGAACCACCCCGGCCCTTACCATTTCGGCCTGAAATTGGTGTTTATTCAAATTATCACAATATTTGCCCCTACACCCCTATCAAAGGGATATGGGGGTCAAGATCCATCTAATGGCATGTATGGACATTCATTGTGGGGAATTAACCTATTAAAAAAAAATATATTTTCCTCCAAAATGCTGAACCACCCCGGACCTTCTAATTTCGGCCCGAAAGTTGTGATAATTCAAATTTTTACAATATTTGACCCTACGCCCCTTTCAAAGGGATATGGGGGTCAAAATCCATCTAATGGCATGTATGTACATTCATTGTGGGGAAACTAGCCTATTGAAAAAAATATATATTTTCCTCCAAAATGCTGAACCACCCCGGCCCTTAAAATTTCGGCACGAAAGTTGTGATAATTCAAATTTTTACAATATTTGCCCCTTCGCCCCTTTCAAAGGGATATGGGGGTCAGGATCCATCTAATGGCATGTATGGACATTCATTGTGGGGAAACTAACCTATTAAAAAAAATATATATTTTCCTCCAAAATGCTGAACCACCCCAGACCTTACAATTTCGGCCCGAAAGTTGTGATAATTCAAATTTTTACAATATTTGCCACTACGCCCCTTTCAAAGGGATATGGGGGTCAGAATCGATTTAATTGCATGTAGGTACAATCATTGTGGGGAAACTAGCCTATTAAAAAAAATATATATTTTCCTCCAAAATCCTGAACCACCCCGGCCCTTACCATTTCGGCCTGAAATTGGTGTTTATTCAAATTATCACAATATTTGCCCCTACGCCCCTTTCAAAGGGATTAGGGGTCAGGATCCATCTAATGGCATGTATGGACATTCATTGTGGGGAAACTAACCTATTCAAAAAAAATAATATTTTCCTCCAAAATGCTGAACCACCCCGGCCCTTACAATTTCGGCACGAAAGTTGTGATAATTCAAATTATCACAATATTTGCCACTACGCCCCTTTCAAAGGGATATGGGGGTCAGAATCGATTTAATTGCATGTAGGTACAATCATTGTGGGGAAACTAGCCTATTAAAAAAAATATATATTTTCCTCCAAAATCCTGAACCACCCCGGCCCTTACCATTTCGGCCTGAAATTGGTGTTTATTCAAATTATCATAATATTTGCCCCTACGCCCCTTTCAAAGGGATTAGGGGTCAGGATCCATCTAATGGCATGTATGGACATTCATTGTGGGGAAATTACTAACCTATTCAAAAAAAATAATATTTTCCTCCAAAATGCTGAACCACCCCGGCCCTTACAATTTCGGCACGAAAGTTGTGATAATTCAAATTATCACAATATTTGCACCTATGCCCCTTTCAAAGGGCTATGGGGGTCAAGATCCATCTAATGGCATGTATGGACATTCATTGTGGGGAAACTAACCTATTAAAAAAATATAATATTTTCCTCCAAAATGCTGAACCACCCCGGACCTTCTAATTTCGGCCCGAAAGTTGTGATAATTCAAATTTTACAATACTTGCCACTACGCCCCTTTCAAAGGGATATGGGGGTCAGGATCCATCTAATGGCATGTATGTACATTCATTGTGGGGAAACTAGCCTATTAAAAAAATATAATATTTTCCTCCAAAATGCTGAACCACCCCGGCCCTTACCATTTCGGCCTGAAATTGGTGTTTATTCAAATTATCACAATATTTGCCCCTACGCCCCTTTCAAAGGGATATGGGGGTCAGGATTCATCTAATGGCATGTGTGTACATTCATTGTGGGGTAACTAGCATAATCAAAAAATATAATTTTTTCCTTCAAAATGCTGAACCACCCCGGACCTTCTAATTTCGGCCCGAAAGTTGTGATAATTCAAATTTTTACAATATTTAACCCTATGCCCCTTTCAAAGGGATATGGGGGTCAGGATCCATCTAATGGCATGTATGTACATTCATTGTGGGGAAATTAGCCTATTAAAAAAAATATATATTTTCCTCCCGAATGCTGAACCACCCGGCCCTTACAATTTCATCACGAAAGTTGTGATAATTCAAATTTTTACAATATTTGCCCCTTCGCCCCTTTCAAAGGGATATGGGGGTCAGGATCCATCTAATGGCATTTATGTACATTCATTGTGGGGAAACTAGCCTATTAAAAAAAAATTATATTTTCCTCCCGAATGCTGAACCACCCCGGCCCTTACAATTTCGGCACGAAAGTTGTGATAATTCAAAATTTTACAATATTTGCCCCTTCGCCCCTTTCAAAGGGATATGGGGGTCAGGATCCATCTAATGGCATTTATGTACAATCATTGTGGGGAAACAAGCCTATTAAAAAAAAAAATATATTTTCCTTCAAAATGCTGAACCACCCCGGCCCTTCTAATTTCGGCCCGAAAGTTGTGATAATTCAAATTTTTACAATATTTGCCACTACGCCCCTTTCAAAGGGATATGGGGGTCAAGATCCATCTAATGGCATGTATGGACATTCATTGTGGGGAATTAACCTATTAAAAAAAAATATATTTTCCTCCAAAATGCTGAACCACCCCGGACCTTCTAATTTCGGCCCGAAAGTTGTGATAATTCAAATTTTTACAATATTTGATCCTACGCCCCTTTCAAAGGGATATGGGGGTCAAAATCCATCTAATGGCATGTATGTACATTCATTGTGGGGAAACTAGCCTATTGAAAAAAAATATATATTTTCCTCCAAAATGCTGAACCACCCCGGCCCTTAAAATTTCGGCACGAAAGTTGTGATAATTCAAATTTTTACAATATTTGCCCCTTCGCCCCTTTCAAAGGGATATGGGGGTCAGGATCCATCTAATGGCATGTATGGACATTCATTGTGGGGAAACTAACCTATTAAAAAAAATATATATTTTCCTCCAAAATGCTGAACCACCCCAGACCTTACAATTTCGGCCCGAAAGTTGTGATAATTCAAATTTTTACAATATTTGCCACTACGCCCCTTTCAAAGGGATATGGGGGTCAGAATCGATTTAATTGCATGTAGGTACAATCATTGT